CAACTTCCCTCTTCAATTCATATTATTATTCCTCCTTCTAGTGTAGATATCCATTTGATGTAAATTATCGTCCCATTCATGTAGACAGGAAAACCGAGCGTTAAAACATTAGCACGATCCGACCACTAGGCTTTGTAAAATTTCACTAAATAACAATCTTCGTTTATAGTCGAACTCGCGGTTGACCGTAGTAGACCTACGTGCTTCAACGAGTTGTAAGGAGCCTGTAGAAACCCAGTGTTTATAAGAGGGACTTTTCGTTAAGCTCCAAAAGACTTTACGTTCTACTCAAACGACTCTGCTCCATGTCCAGAATACAGCACTGTGCATTTATGACTCTGGCTATTACTGCAGTATCTATAGAACGCATTTTGGTAGAATGCTTAACTGATTTTAGAAATCATCCTCAATCGCATGAGATCTGCAATCTTTCGAAGCGTAGGCGGAGAATAATATCATCTTTAGGAAACAATGTAGCAGAACTCAATTTTGTTTTGTCGCCAGAAGATTGATAAATGTCATATCTTTATAGCCTTTTAGCGGATCAGAACTTTTGGGAAGAAGTTGATTCCACAGACGAATCTGTAATCGTATAAAAAACATAAATTCCTCTTGTTTTCCACATATTGATTTCTTGTTCATTGAGCATAACTAAATTTCATAATGATAATATATTCTGAAAATAATAATTACATAATTCATACCACTTTACAGTCATGATCGTTTCGATACAGACAGAGATATTAAACGTACAGGATATATGGGATATTACATTGTTTGAACTGTTACACTTCAAAATTTCTCCAGGTAGTACAGTTTTCACATGAGTTATAGAAACGAGAGGCACCAGTAACCTCAAACATTAATTCGCACTGAGTGGATATACTGTTGATGTATGAACAATGCATTTCACGTCATTTCCAGTTTCACAACACAGTCATCATAATCATCCTCAACTGGAAAAGTTGAAACGAAAACAAAGATCACAGAACAATAAAAGCAATAATTACTATGATTGGTCTATTGTGATCTGTGTGTCAGCTTGTTTAATGATCTACTACTCGGGTTAGATATTATTTCAATTAATTAATGTTACCAGAGATGGTGTAAGTGTAAATTAGGAGCAAGTGGTCAAGTCTAATGAATGGGGTCAATAACAATAACGACTGAACATTTTATGTTTTTACAATCTCACTTGTGGAATGGGATGTACATAGAGGTTTAAGCACATTACAATCATTTTCACGGGCGACGTGAGCATCAATATAAAGAACAAATAATGGAAGCGTTTTTATTTCAGGGACACATTGTGGTAAATTATTCCAGAGTTGAGAAATTTTACTGCTAAATTAATTCACACAGAGAAGATTTAAAATGAAATCGTTTCGCGACTGACAAAGAGTTCCGAATGCTATAACTAGGAGTTTCTGTATGCTGAACTGGATCTGTGGATTTAAGAATTAATAAGTCAAGTATTTTAATTTAATTTGATTTAAGTCTGCTCTCCCACTAATGTTAGAACTTAAGTTTATTACACCGGGACTTATTATTTAAGGTACGGTTAGTCCCAATGATGCAGTGAAATCATCTCTGAAGCGATTGCAGCCTTAAATTATCCTTCATGCAAACTCCATTAAAAATTAAAGTATAGCGTTCCAGGAGTGTTTGGGAAGATAGTTTGTACATTAAAACACATTTGGTTTTACTTCCAGATTTGTAACGTGCTACGATGCACATGATTTTCTAACACTAAAGGTAAGTTTCTGTTACAAAAGAGACATTGAGAATAAACAGTTTTAGAAGCAGTGGAATATCATAATCACCACATTTGAAGGAATGAATGTAATCCCGTCTACTCCATGACTGGATCTTCAATTCTGAATCAGGAACTGCGGGAGAACACCATGTTTCAGTAACAAGTATGAAAAACACTCCCTTAATTAATTGATATTTATCTTCCTTGAAAGTTACTAGTAAAAGAAATTTCATAAATTCAGATGAAATAAACATTCATTGCTATCGGAATTTCAAACAGATTCTTGATAAGAAAATTACCAACCTTCAGATTAAACAAAACTCAAACTAAACATAAACTTTTCCTTATTGCTGAAATATATATTTTCTGAAATTTTTGTAGGATTTCATGGCACATAGTATCAGCCAAATCTGAAATGAGCTATTTGGATATAAATCAATTTCTATCTCAATTTAACGGAAATTGAAACTTAAATCTATATATCATGACTTCAAATCATCATACTGGATATTAAATTTGATTGTCCCCGGTTCTATTTCTTGTATGTGTTTTCAAACTACGTCGAAACAACTATCCTGTTTATTTCTTATTTACAACCATAATTAAGTTGATGTGTATGAAACTTATTTGGTCAGTTAACATTGTGTAACATACTGCTTGTTATGAAAAAGTAGTAGGACATCTAATAAACAATTTCTATGTCTACTATTTCAATGTTCAATAAATTAAGTTTCAACCTGTACACCCTAAATATCCTAATGAAAAGTTGGAAACAAATAAGTTTGTTATTGAAAACACTTCATTACTTTTCTTGTAATAATATTTAGAGGTATTAAGTTTATGTATGTATATTTATACATGTGGAAAGATTAGTAGTAATGTTCATTATCAATATTCTAAATGATTTAACATATTGGTTATTTATTGACATAGGTTCACTCAATTTAATTATTAACATAAGAAATCAAATAAAAAACACCATTTGAACCGAAAACTTATTTATAGATTAGATAAAATATACTTACTTACTTACTTACTTACTTACTTACTTACTTACGCCTCTCACTCCTCGTGGAGGAGCATAGGCCGCCCACCAGCATTCTCCATCCAACCCTGTCCTGGGCAATCCTTTCAAGCTCTTTCCAGTTCTTATTCATCCCTTTCAGATCCGCTTCTATCTCTCGACGTAGTGTGTTCTTTGGCCTTCCTCTTTTCCTCTTCCCTTCAGGATTCAAAGTTAGCGCTTGCCTCGTAATACAGTTTGATGATTTCCTCAATGTATGTCCTATCCATTTCCATCGTCTTTTCCTAATTTCCTCTTCAGCTGGAAGCTGGTTGGTTCTCTCCCACAAAAAGCTGTTGCTGATGGTATCCGGCCAAAGGATGTTGAGTATCTTGCGTAGACAGCTATTGATAAATACTTGTACCTTCTTCATGGTGGTGGTTGTAGTTCTCCGAGTTTCAGCTCCGTACAGTAGAACTGCCTTGACGTTCGTATTGAAGATTCTGACTTTCATGTTGGTTGAAAGTTGTTTTGAGTTCCATATGTTCTTTAATTGAAGGAATGCTGTCCTTGCTTTGCCAATCCTCGTCTTTACGTCTGCATCTGAACCTCCTTGTTTGTCGACAATGCTTCCCAGGTATGTGAAGGATTCCACGTCTTCCAGAGTTTCGCCATCAAGAGTGATTGGATTGCTGTTCTCCGTGTTGTGTTTGAGGACCTTGGTTTTCTCTTTGTGTATTTTGAGGCCTACTGATGCAGAGACTGCTGTTATGCTGGCTGTCTCTATCTGCATTTGTTCGTGTGTATTAGATAGGAGGGCTAGGTCATCTGCGAAGTCTAAATCGTCTAGTTGGTTCTGAGCTGTACATTGTATGCCGTGTTTTCCCTCAGATGTCGAAGTCTTCATAATCCAGTCGACCACCAGAAGAAAGAGGAAGGGAGAGAGTAGACAGCCTTGTCTTACTCCGGTCCTCACTTGGAATGCGTCTGTCAGCTGTCCTCCATGCACGACTTTGCACTGTAGTCCGTCGTATGAGTTTTGGATAATATTGACAATCTTCTCAGGAACTCCGTCGTGTAGAAGAACTTTCCACAACTTTCTCCTATCTACACTGTCAAATGTCTTTTCATAATCAATAAAGTTGAGGTACAGTGATGAATTCCACTCAATTGATTGTTCGACGATGATCCGTAGTGTCGCAATTCGGTCTGTGCACGACTGGTCCTTACGGAATCCAGCTTGTTGATCTCGAAATCGAGCGTCCACTGTGTCTTTCATCCTGTTCAGTAACACTCTGTTAAAGACTTTTCCTGGTATTGACAATAGTGTAACGCCTCTGTAATTTTCGCACTTGTTCAGGTCTCCTTTCTCTGGAATCTTGATGAGGTGTCCTTCCTTCCAGTCCATCGGCACTTGTTCCTCCTCCCAAATCTTCTTGAATAGAAGATGAAGCATGCTTGTAGTTACTTCGATGTCTGACTTCAGTGCTTCAGCTGGTATATTGTCGGGTCCTGCTGCTTTCCCACTCTTGATTTGTCTGATATCCATTCTGATTTCTTTGATCGTTGGTGGATTGACATCTACAGGAAGATCTGTGTGTGCTGCTTCGATGTCCGGTGGATTCATTGGAGCCGGCCTGTTCAGGAGTTCCTCGAAGTACTCTGCCCATCTGTTCCGCTGTTGCTGAATCTCAGTGATTGGTCTTCCTTCTTTCTCTTTGACTGGTCTCTCTGCTTTAGTATATTTCCCTGATAATTTATTCGTTGTATCATAAAGCTGTTTCATATTTCCTTCTCTTGCAGCTTTCTCCGTCGTCGTCGCTAGTTCTTCCATGTATTTCTGCTTGTCGGCTCTAATGCTCTTCTTCACTTGCTTGTTTGATTCTATGTACTCAGCTTGTGATTGAATTTACTCTGCTCATACTCGGCTGTTGTTAATTGCTGTCTTCTTGTTCTTCCTTTATTTGATCCTGTCCAGTGTTTCTATAGAGATCCATTCCTTGTGATGATGCTTCTTGAGGCCCAGAACCTCTTGACACGTTGAAGTTAGTGCTTCTTTGATACATTTTTAGTTATCCTCCATAGTAGTTTCTTCTTCCTTCAGTAGATCCTGTAGGGCTTGGAACCTGTTGTTGAGAGCTATCTTGAATTCATTGAGTTTGTCGGTATCTTGAAGGAAAGCTGTATTGAACCTTTGCAGCGCTGTTTGTCCAGTTGACCAGTTCTTCTTTAGCTTCAGTTTTAAATTGGTCACAACTAGGTGGTGATCTGAAGCTATGTCCGCTCCTCTCCTGGTTCTCACATCTTCCATTGTCCTTCGGAACTTTTTATTGGTGCAAATATGATCTATCTGATTCTCTGTGGTGTGGTTCGGTGAGATCCATGTAGCTTTGTGTATACGTTTGTGTAGAAATATTGTGCCGCCTATGACCAATTTGTTGAATGCACACAGATTTACAAATCTTTCCCCGTTTCCGTTTGTCTCTCTTAGTCCATGTAGTCCCATGATATCTTCATATCCGGTGTTGTCTATTCCGACTTTGGCGTTTAGATCTCCCATCAGAATGGTGAGGTTGTTTCTTGGGCACTTCTCTATGATTGATTGCAGCCTCTTATGGAATTGATCTTTAACGTCGTCGTTGCTATCATTGGTGGGTGCATAACATTGAATAATGTTCATTGTGATCCCCTCCTTCTTTGTTTTGAATGATGCTTTGATGATTCTGGATCCGTGAGACTCCCATCCTACAAGTGCATTTTGTGCTACTTTGGACAGCATTAGAGCAACTCCCTGAGTGTGTGGAGCATCTTCCTCTTCGTGACCGGAGTATAGCAGCATCTCTCCCGTATTTAGCCTTTGTTGTCCAGCTAGTGTCCAAGGGGTTTCGCTGATTCCGAGTACTGCCAAGTTGTATCTCCTCATTTCCGTTGCTATTTGACTGGTCTTCCCGGTCTGCCACATTGTCCGGACGTTCCATGTACCTATAAAAATTGTTGCTCTGGTTGTTAGAAGGGGCATCAGCCTCATGGCTTCCGATGGAACTCGGCTTTCACCATGAGGCGTCATATTTCTTCTAAATGAAGACCTTCTAACTTTCAGGCCAGAGTTTAAATGGTTTGAGTTAGTTTTTCTGGTTAGCGTTCTTTTAGCGAGTTAGTTTTCTACGGGATGGGCACGCTAACCCCATGCCCAACCCTCCTCCTTTACCCGGGCTAGGGACCGGCAGTAACTCTAGGAGAGCTAGGAGAGTTAGATAAAATATAGCTAGCAGTAGAATCCAGCATGTGGGTTTCGTCGTATTTGGGACTCGTCCGTTGGATAGATCTATATTCGTGTTAATGCTCAGTCCGAGACTCAAATCCAGTACTTATTGCTCCAAATGCCAAAGCGTTATCCACCAAGCTACTGAGTATATATAGACGTCCGTTTGGTTATATCGAGATAATTTGAACAATAGACACCTATCCCAACCAAATCTAGTCAAAATTTAGTCAAAAACCTCAACGAAACATGTAATTCAAACCTAGTCTAATAATGGTATAAAAAATTTTTACTTTAGTATTCTGTTGATTATAATCATAATGTAGAGATTGGTAAAAATCTGCGTCATCTTTAGTAGCAACATACTTCAACATTAAAAATCGAAATACAAGAATAATTCAGGAAACCCGTGAAGGTATTAAAATAATTTTCAATATTTTTATGTGAACAATGTAATTATTTAACATGTTTAAACTATAACAACCTATGATTTATCAACTCATTTCTAATAGAAATAATAATAAATAATTGATTAAGGATTTTCCTAGGTCGTCAATTAATTAACATTAAAATCATGAACAAACAGATTCTGATATGGTGGAACATTCAATGTGATAGATTCGGTTGAATGTATTTGAGGTAACGTGTGTTCACTTCTGAGACGATTTACATGAAAATTAAACATTGGTTCGTGGGAAAATTTGTCTTAGAACTGATATAACTGTTTATAACTGGTCCCCACCAATAGAACATAATTGCGTAATATCGCGAATCGATTGTAGATAAGAATGTGAACCATTGAATTTCATTTCAGTAGTTTAAATAGTTAATTGATTACTGAGAGATCTAAGTGTCATGATTTCGATCCCCGGTGAGGTCGTAAATACCCACTGCTAAGTGGTCCCGTACTAGAACGAAACAACTCTACAGTGATTCTTGGTTTTCAATTGATGTCTAACTTACATTAGTACGTAATGTAAAATCTAGCAACCTCCACAAACATCATAGAGTAATCAATCAACTCATAGTTGATATTACATGTTCAATTAAACATTTTTGTTTATAAAAGTTTAAATAAAGGCTAGCATGTGATGCGTGTTTGGTCTCATTTTGGACTCATCAGCTGGATATACATTCATCCCATTGCTGATACTTACTGGGATTTAAACCTACTTCAAATGACCATAGCATTATCCACTGGCCTATCTAGTGTTTGCAAAGAGCTTATACAACGGGTATGTAGTTCTGTATTCAATGTTTTTTACGTTTCTGTCATTAATATTATGGACTCCAGTTGATTAGTCTCTTGTGCAAACTGTCTCGATATTGCGTGCAAGACTTCATCACTAGACATTATTTCTATTTTTATTAAAACTTGTGACTAAATAATAATATCGAGACAAGCGGTACGGGATATACAAATGCTAAAAAGAGACTAATCACTTGCAGTTCATAAGGTTAACAACAAAAACACTTGCAAATTTTTTTGTTTATTGTCACTAAAATAATTCGATGTACAATAACAAAATCCGCTAAAATCGGTCAATGAATGATACCTACTTAATGCTTATTCATGTTGGTTGACCTCATTTTTACATTAAATAAAAAAATTACTTGGTTAATATGAATAAATTGAAAAATGGTCAGTGCCAATGAAACAAAATAATAGCATCAACTAAATTAGTGTATTACATAACAATTTACTTTGTTCAGTCAAAAAAACAAATAAATACTCACATAAATTAATAATCAGTTGCGTGATATTAAGTATAGATCTCTGCTAAAAAATCATTAATGAATAGATGCCTTTGGTACAAAAAAGATACAATGTCACCTCCGACCATCCAGCATCTTAGCATACTATTCAGGGTGTCGTGGTACTTAGACTAGTGATCATATTACAGTCTGGTCGATAGAAATCGATCAATAAGTAATAGGATAGATAGACATTATATTGGTTACAAATATCTCAGCCCTATAGAAGACCATTCATGACCGGAAAAGCTCGGTGGTAGCATCACAGACAGTAAAACTGGATGAATCAGGTTTCGACCACACAGGAGGCATCAAGTAACATGAAATGTGAGTTCAGAGTTTCCCACTGACTACCTCGAAACACCTATATATATCAGAATTTTTTGAATGACTTTGGTTATGTTAGGGTGGATGTACAAGTACCTACATTACCTATAATAAAGCAAATACCTATCTACACTAGTCATCTCAACTCACTGAATATTGACATGAACAATATCAAGTCTGTTTAAAACGAATCTACTTTTATCTTCATTCAATACATAACTACTAATTTATAGCATTTTGTCAATTTTATCGGGCTAGATTTTATCATTACACAACAAATTTCATCAACTATGTGAATAAATAAAGAAACTGATTGTTTAACATTGCGAAAAATTATTGTTTGTGAGTTAGAGATAGAGAAAAGAATAACTCAAAAGCAGTGCAATCCAGAACGCGGGTTTTGTTCTATGTAAGACACGTCAGCAGGATATACCGGAATCCGTGTGTTTAAGTTCATTATGGGACCCAAAGGCAATATCTTACTTTAATTCCCAATCTGTTATTCACTGAATTAATGAGTTCAGATAACTACTGACTTGTTCAGTGGGTATAAATATGCCAAGAATACATGAAATAACGTCTAAAATAAAAGCGCAAACTAATCAACTATAGTCTCTAATATCAACAACAGTAAACTGCAAACCCTTTCTAATGAATTCAACTCCAGTTTGATGGAAATCATCAACTTTTAAATCCATAAACTTGGTGCTGAATTTTCTTCATTCCAAACGATACTTTCAAATCTTGCCAAAAGCTTACACTAGACATGTTAGAATTGAGACGGTGAATACCTATGGATAATCATAATAATAGAATGTAATTTGATTGAAATTGAAATTATGAACCATTTGATTTGAACTTACTGATCCTTATTTGGTTCATTGATTCTCTTGTCAATGTACACTATTAAATAGTCTTATAGTAGAAGGAAATAGATGTTCAGTACATTCTGGTTTTCAATGATACTTCAACTGATATCAATCACTTTTATCATAATATAATATAATTTTATTCTCAGTAAATTTTTCTTTTCTGCTTCTTATTTCGTATAATGAATGGAACAAATTCTTATAAACTAACTACTTCAATGTGAAGAATTAAACACGTTAAAACATGAACATTTATATTTTGTTCAATCTATTTATCACACCTAACACTCTAAAACAATTACATACTAACATCGTCTAGTAGGTGTAGTAGATACTGTTCGAATATATATGCACATGAATATAAACAATTTGAGTTACGTAAATATTTCTATATAGATATATATGACTCATTTTTAATGGTAATCATAATATATGTAGCATTATCACTTTAAGGTTACCTATTGGCACAGAGTTTCATTTGTATATCCTTCATCCTCAGCATAGCTTATCGATATTAATTTATTTTATATATAGATTTGATGTCTGTCTATCCATCTATTTATCTATTGATCTCTTAAGTTATCTATTTATCTGTAGCATGAAAGATTCTTAATTTAGTCAAATTGTAGATGATAACCTGTATATGAGGTCGGATCAATAGATTGATCGATACATATTTCAGCCTAATACACAAAGTTACATGATGTTAGGGGAAATAGGCAGGTCACTACTGAGTAGTAGTAGTAGTAGTAGTAGTAGTAGTAGTAGTAGTAGTAGTAGTAGTAGTAGTAGTAGTAGTAGTAGTAGTAGTAGTAGTAGTAGTAGTAGTAGTAGTAGTAGTAGTAGTAGTAGTAGTAGTAGTAGTAGTAGTAGTAGTAGTAGTAGTAGTAGTAGTAGTAGTAGTAGTAGTAGTAGTAGTAGTAGTAGTAGTAGTAGTAGTAGTAGTAGTAGTAGTAGTAGTAGTAGTAGTAGTAGTAGTAGTAGTAGTAGTAGTAGTAGTAGTAGTAGTAGTAGTAGTAGTAGTAGTAGTAGTAGTAGTAGTAGTAGTAGTAGTAGTAGTAGTAGTAGTAGTAGTAGTAGTAGTAGTAGTAGTAGTAGTAGTAGTAGTAGTAGTAGTAGTAGTAGTAGTAGTAGTAGTAGTAGTAGTAGTAGTAGTAGTAGTAGTAGTAGTAGTAGTAGTAGTAGTAGTAGTAGTAGTAGTAGTCGTAGTAGTAGTAGTAGTAGTAGTAGTAGTAGTAGTAGTAGTAGTAGTAGTAGTAGTAGTAGTAGTAGTAGTAGTAGTAGTAGTAGTAGTAGTAGTAGTAGTAGTAGTAGTAGTAGTAGTAGTAGTAGTAGTAGTAGTAGTAGTAGTAGTAGTAGTAGTAGTAGTAGTAGTAGTAGTAGTAGTAGTAGTAGTAGTAGTAGTAGTAGTAGTAGTAGTAGTAGTAGTAGTAGTAGTAGTAGTAGTAGTAGTAGTAGTAGTAGTAGTAGTAGTGTAGTAGTAGTAGTAGTAGTAGTAGTAGTAGTAGTAGTAGTAGTAGTAGTAGTAGTAGTAGTAGTAGTAGTAGTAGTAGTAGTAGTAGTAGTAGTAGTAGTAGTAGTAGTAGTAGTAGTAGTAGTAGTAGTAGTAGTAGTAGTAGTAGTAGTAGTAGTAGTAGTAGTAGTAGTAGTAGTAGTAGTAGTAGTAGTAGTAGTAGTAGTAGTAGTAGTAGTAGTAGTAGTAGTAGTAGTAGTAGTAGTAGTAGTAGTAGTAGTAGTAGTAGTAGTAGTAGTAGTAGTAGTAGTAGTAGTAGTAGTAGTAGTAGTAGTAGTAGTAGTAGTAGTAGTAGTA